ACTTAATAATTCTTATCAAAAATTCACGAATCACGATTAAAAAATAAAAATCTTTAGTTTTCTAATTTACTATTTAAATTGCTATTTACTTTTCTCAAATGTCATCAAATTAATTTTATATAGGTACATGAATAATATTATTTAGTTATCTTGGTGTATGTACAGTAATTAGTGAATCTTAGTAWAGTTTCTATTTATGTGTCATGTAGATGTTGAGTTTGTGAATTCGCCTCAATACTTATTTCGTGAATAAAAAAATTATAAATTTATCAAAAGTTTCAAGATGCAAATTTAAATATGATATATCACCAATCTAATGAATTCATTTGTGTTTGTTTATTTGCCGTTYTACTATTTTATATCCCATGTAAGTATACCTGTTTAAAAAAAAATATTAATCCTAATATCTACTGTGTTTTTTAAAACAGATCCTTTAACTAAAATTAACTAATCATATTTAACAGATTTTCATTCCTCTAAATTATTAAAATTGTTAAAAAATTATAAGTACCTATTTGAATAAAGAGTAAGACTATAAAATTAATGAAATTAGTACTATACATTTTATTTTGTTTCAGATACAAATGGGATAAATAACAATTATATTAAAATGTTTCCAAAAATTGGTGAAAATGTTACACTAAAATGTAACAGTAATAGTATAAAAWATTCTGATGTGTTGTGGCAAATGAATCATAAAGAATTACCTGGTCGAGCTAAAGTTATGGAAAATGGAGATTTATTCATCCCATCATTTGATATACCGGATGCTGGCATCTATATTTGTGATTTAGCAGCTGCTAGTGGCTATGTTGGGCATGCTCCGCTGACTGAATTTGAACTAAAACCAAAAAGTAAGTAAAATGCTTAATTATATCTCTAAATTTACTGAACTGTATTGAAATCATTTCAGGCGTACCTGGATCCTTGATAGATGTTAGAGTYATACCTAATACTGTATTAATACTCATWACATGGAGAGAAATAGAAAACAATGATGGATCTTCTGTACAGAATATAACCATAAGGTATAAAACTATAGATGACAGAAGTTCAAGAGATGATTGGAGTATTCTTCAAGTAAATCCAAATAAGGTAAATCRGTTTGTGGCTATAACACTTTCTTTTTTTTATACCATGTATAAATTACTAAATACATATTATTTTTTTAATCATTAATTTCAACATTGGRTAATTGATATATTTTTACAAACTTCTTATGCTTCAGTTAGACTTTGAAATTAATTAAGATTAATATCTAATTTATGAAATTACAATACAATCAAATAGTATAAATATTATCAAGTGAACAGCTATATTTTTTTTTWTTATTATTATGTTTTATTCAATCTGTTTCAAAGGAGAACAATAAGAATAATTGATGATAGAAGCTAAGATAAAAATAAAAATAATATA